AGCCTTCCAATATTTGAGGGGCTGCCACAGACAGGAGGGGGTCAAGCTATTATCCAAGGCACCCGAAGGCCAGACAAGGAATAATGGATGGAAACTGATCAAGGGGAGATTCAACCTGGGAATAAGGAGGAATTTCTGACAGTGAGAACAATCCACCAATGGAACAGAAGTTGCCTTCAGAGGTTGTGGGAGCTTCATCACTGGAGGCTTTCAAGAAGAGACTGGAATGCCCTCTGTCAGAAATAGTGTAGTGTCCCCAGCTTTGATGGGGGGGGGGTGTTGGACTAGATGACCTACAAGGTCCTTTCCAACTCTATTAGTCTGTTAAGAAGCTAAATTCAGGTTTCTAAAAATCCCATCTTTTCTAGAAAGATACAGATTTTCTAACAATTAAGCAATAAAGAGTTTTTTTCCACTTTAACTTCTTATTTATTTGCTAAATTTATTTGTCCCCATTTCGCTGTGGGGCTTCTCTGGGTGGCTCAAATAAGCACTTAAACTCCAGAGTCTCAGCTTAAGGAAACAGGATTTTATTTACCTGAGTTTGTGGGCAAATATAAATTACACAGTCCAATAATATATGGCCGCTCTCTCCCACTCACTAACCCATTTAAATATATATAATTAGCTCTGATTAGTATGTGAGAGAGAGCAAGGGGTGTAGCAATGCCAATTAAAAAATAGCCATCCCAAGTTTTTAAAAGCCTTATATTGCAAACAATTGATTGTTGTCAACTTGAGTTCTGTTTCCACAATGGAGTGTATCCAGAGGACCCAACACATAATTTGTATTTCATTCTGCCCACAAGTTAGGACAACCCAGGAGAAAGGAAGCATCTTTTATAGTTTACAGTTTATAATTGCTTGATAAATCCCTTCAGAATTAAACTGGGGCATCCTCTTATTGCTCACAAAGAAAACAACCTGTGAATAAACCGGAAAGTTTTGGGCTGTACGCAGCAAAACCAAAACTATTCTAGATTAGGTGTTTGTGCAATGCAGAAGAGTTCACGGGAATCTGGGCTTCAAAAACCTGGATCGCCACTGGATGGCAGCAGAGAGCTGGGGATTTTTTCATCACTTCTGGATTGCTGAAAGATGGCAGCTCTCACCTTTGCACCACAATAAGGTGTTTAAAATTAACCTCAGCTCCAATGCTGGGACAGAAGACTGCTCACCATGCCCATTCTTTCATATTTCGGGAACAAAATTGTCAAAAGTCATATTTACTAAACCTTCCTGTTTATCATGATCATATAAACATAGATAAGAAGGAGCTGGCCTTCAGTTGCACAGTATTATCTTTACTTTTGTGAACCAACCTCCCACAGATGCCACCTAAAATAACAAAAAGTTCAAGATGCAGAATTGACACACAAGGAATTTGATCCCTGCCAGCTGTCTCTCCTTTGTAGATGAGCTGGGCAAACTTTTCTGAATATATATTTTTCCCTCTGCAGATCCCAGCCCATTTCCAGCTCAATTGTCTTTTGCTGGCTTCTTCTCCCCATCATCCCCTTTGCACAATCCTGGTAAATGGACTTCCTAGCCCTTTCTTTCTGACATTGCGTTGGGATGGAAAGGCCAACGAGGCTAAGCAAAGGGAAACCTGCTTAAGAATAGCTGCGGTTCCCATCGCCAGGGGAAGGAAGAAGAAAGAGCTGCCAGCAGCATCTGAGCCATTCCCCTTTGGGATTTTGGGGGGGAATTGTTTTGTGGGTGTTATCCAGATAATGGATGGACAAACAGACAGTCAGTCTGGAGGCCCTTTGATTAATTCCTTACCAACATTCTGTATGCATTGCATTCTATATGCAAGGTAGCAAAATTTATTACAACGAATTATATATACTCTGTGTCAGCAGCACAACAAAGACGGGGAACCTATCCCGCCTATGAATTTGGATAGGGAGATGGGCAACCTGTAGACATAATAAATAAATAAAAGCAATAAATGTGGGAAGTTAGCAACGGAGGTGTTCAAGATTCCTGCAATCTCACCATCTCTTTGCCAACTCTGGAGAAACTGCCAGTGAGGTGCCCTTGAAGTCACCAAGAATTGGATTCTCCCAGCAAGAGATTTTCCCTTCCCCAGCTAAAATGAGATTTATTCCACGTTGTGCAAAAAATTCCTAGTTTGCAAGAAGCTACAACTTTATATAAGGGAAAACATTACTATTATTTGATCAAAACCTGTTTGTTTGTTTTTTTGCTGGGGTGCCATTTCCTTCTGCCATTAGATTTGTACTTGGAAATCCCCTAAAACTGACTTACCCAAGAAAACTTCCAGAATTAACTTTATTACGTTTGCAGATCTAGTGATAGAGATGAACCGCGGAGGCCCAGCCCTGGGGGCCCTTTGCCAGCTGAATCAGGATCGTGTCTTTATTTCCTCACTGTTTACGTACTCTTTCCCCCTATTTAAATGGTGTGTCATGGCTATAAACGTTATGGCGTGCCCTGTAAAGCACATCTTGTAACAGTTTTTACAGAGCAGAATTCACATGGCTGTTTGTACGGGTGAGAAAGAGCTGGGAAGAAGCCTTCCTATCCCCATTAGAAGATGCCATGCCCAGATAAAGCTCCTAAGCACTGGGACCTAATACAAAGCTAGTTTCTCAGAAGGATTAAAAATGGATTTTGGTCAGATCGCTGCCCGTTTCAGGGCTGGAAGCCATCTTTTGCATTGGGCCTCCAGACCTGCCACATTCAATGCTGTGGGAAATTGGGAGAAGGGATTATATGGAGTAGGGGAGATATATAGGCAAAATAACATTCTTTTTCAGAGAGTCAAGGATATCTTGCCCTACACCTGGAGTGGTGTGACTGGGAGTCATCTCCAGTTGGAATGGTGCCTGACTGGGCCATGTGATGGACATGTGGGTGCTGGGCAGGGGCTTGGGTTTTCGNGGAAGGAAGGAAGGAAGGAAGGAAGGAAGGAAGGAAGGAAGGAAGGAAGGAAGGACGGACGGACAATAGCACTTAGACTTATATACCACTTCACAGTGCTTTCAGCCCTCTTTAAGCAGTTTACAGAGTCAGCCTATTGTCCCCCAACAATCTGGGTCCTCATTTTATCGACCTCGGAAGGATGGAAGGCTGAGTCAATCGGAAGGAAGGAAGGAAGGAAGAAGGAAAGAAGAAAGGACAATAGGACTTAAAACATATACTGCTTTAACAGCCCTCTCTAAGTGGTTTACAATCAGCCTATTGCCCCCAATGATCTGGGTCCTCATTTTACCAACCTCAGAAGGATGGAAGGCTGAGTCAACCTTGAGCTGGTCAGGATCGAACTGCTGGCAGTGGGCAGAGTCATCCTGCAATACTGCATTCTAATCATTGTGTCACCCCGTCTCTTTATCCTGGCCAAACCTGTTTTCTTAGGACTCTGTGCCTTTGGCCTGCACCCATTGCACACTCCTGCCCCACGCCTGGCTCTTACCATGTTGCCCTGGAGAGGTACTCCATGAGATTCGACTGGAAGAGGCGAATAGGTCGATCCACTGGCTGGTGCACCCATTCATCGTACTTCTCCCGTAGGTGGCCCACTTGCCAGACCAGAGGCTTCCCCCAGTCCACCAGGTCCTGAAAGGAGAGATTCCCGTGATCTTTACAACTGCATTGTCTCAACAGTCAGAGTTATGGCAGAGTTATTCTGACAACATAGCATGTTAGAAAATTTGATGAATGGCACTGCAAAGAGACCCTAGGAAGAGTGCAGAGAAGAGCAACCAGAATTATTAGGGGATTGTAGACTCAAACATATGAAGAATGAACTGGGCATGTCTAGTCTGGTGAAGAGAAGGACCAGGGGAGACAGGATAGCAGCCTTCCAATATTTGAGGGGCTGCCACAGACAGGAGGGGGTCAAGCTATTATCCAAGGCACCCGAAGGCCAGACAAGGAATAATGGATGGAAACTGATCAAGGGGAGATTCAACCTGGGAATAAGGAGGAATTTCTGACAGTGAGAACATTCAAACCATGGAACAGAAGTTCCCTTCGGAAGTTGTGG